GGTTCGATATTTTCCTCATCTTCAACACTAACTTCAACCATATTAACTCCCATCGAAACTGGCTCCACATATCCAGTATGGGCAACAAATGGATCAGTGTCCACTTTCATTTCCTTTTCCTCGAAAGCAAGGCGACCATCAGTAATCGCTCTCTTGATCAAATTCCTGAAATGTACACAATTATTAGTCCAATGCCCATACATATTATGATATTTACAAAATTTCTTCCTTTTTCTTTGCTCGAATGGAGGAATTTTATGGTTTTCTGGGAGTACAATTTGTTTATCTTTTAATAAGATATCAAATATCTTATCAGCCTTAGTAACGTCGAAACTGTATCTCTTGGTCGAATTTCCTTCTATACTATCTCCCGGTTTTAACATTTGACACTGGTACGTAGGACCAGGACGCAATTCTGCTAAGTTAACCTCAAAATCTTCACTCGAAATATCATAGTTAGGATCATCACTTAATTTAGAATTTTCTAGATAGGCCATTTTTTCCTTTCGAACAAATTTATCAAATTTTCTTAATCTTTCTTTTTCTAGCTTGATTTGTTCAATCCTTCTTACCTTTTCGGCTAACTGGGCCATGTCTCTCAACTGTTCATTTACTAATTTTTTACGTATCGAGAAATCTAACCCTGTTACTGCAATCCTAACTAATTCATGTTCAGGTATATTAGTATAACATCGAGATTTTAATTGTCTGAACCTATTTAAATAGTCATCTAAAGTTTCATGGCTTTGTCTCTTAATGTTCATTAGATCAACTATACTAACTTTCGTTTCTTCTCTGAAGAAATGTTCGTGAAAACTACCCTCTAATTGAACCCAAGTGTGTATCGAATTAGGGGGCAAGGTCGTGAACCATGTAAAAGCGTGCTTAGTTAACGAACTTGGAAAATACTTCATCTTTAAATATTCATTATTCGCTAAATCCCCACATTCGACTACAAACCTAGCTATATGTTCGACTGTAGACTCAGTTAATTCTCCCGCGAATTTTGAAAACTTCGGGACTTTTGTTCCTCTAGGCAGTTCTACTTGAGTTACATAATCTGGGAAGGATGACACAAAATAAGGACGTTCATTTCGACCTACATCGAATCCATGTCTATTTAATATCCTTTCTACTATTTGATCTAGATTATCATTTGGATTCCTATTAGGTTGACCTACGTTTTGTCGAAAAATCCCATTCCCATCTAGATTTTCCATCTCGTTAAGATTTGCACTCATGGCTCTCGAGGGTGGTCCATCACCTAATTTATCTCCTATTTTGTTTATCAATTCATACAGAGGAGACATAATATTATGCATTTGGGTTGACAACAAATTGACCATGTCATGATTACTATGGTCCATCTGTTGTCGAAGAGCCATCATGGCTTGATTACTAATACCAGTAGGGACGTAACTGCCCTGTCGAATCAGGGAACCTTCCTGACTTGTTCCTACGTGTTGATATGGGTCGTGCATAACAAAACCCAAACCATTTGGTCCATGATTATATCCTTGTGGGGATACGTGCATTTGTGGATTAGGTCCTAAGAAAGGTATTGGCATTTCGACATGTACAGCTGGTTGGGTATTTCGCCAATTCTGTGGCATACCCCAAGGATATTCCCTAGTGACGTTTGCTAGTTCCTGAGTAACATTTGTTTGCCTAGCTGTATTTTTGAGTAACACAGGGGAAGATGCTGCCCCCTGGTATCGGGGTTAGGGTTTGCTTGTTCTACATCTACGTGATTATTATTTTTCGTGTTTTTTTCCCTCTGATTATTAGATGTAGACATGGTTCTTCCACTCCTAAGTCTCATGCAACATGCATACTTAAAACTAGCCCAATTATGTTTGTGATTTAAACGTGTCCCACCGGGCGTGCCAATTTGTTTACGGTGGAATTAGTTTTAAGGATTCTTTTTACTCGGACTAGCACAATCAATGTTTCAATTTAGGTATGTTAACGTTCTTATGGATTTGAAACACAACGCAAAAAAGAGAGACAAAGTGGAAACTTTCAATGATTGCTTGTCTCTAAATATTCGTTAAGTATTATCAAGCAATAATGTTCATGTATGTAAATACTTAAATGCACAAAATGAACAACACGTATATTAGTAATGCAAATCATAGGTCATTTCGTACAATGGTCAAATTACATTACACATTAAAGCATATTGATCAAAGTATACGAATACACTACGTGATTAAAAGAAGAAAAAGAAAACTATTCTACTTCTACTCCTAAAAATAGAAAAGAAAAGTGGCCGAGAAATAACCATACCCAAAAATGATTCCTTGCACGAAAGTCATATGCGCAGGCAGAGAGTGCTTCAGATTCTAGTCTTAGTATGAGTTTTCCGACCTCGTGAAAGGCTAAGCTTTGCCTATTTATAGAACTCTCGAGAGCAGTTATCTTTCATCTTCATGCGTCGTGGGTATGTAACTGCTCTTCCATATCAAATTCGTGCTGTAAAGTATAACTTCCCATAACCGTTATTTCCACGTGTTTTTTATCCTTTCGACTCATTTCCTTTAATCGCTCCATTATAACCACTCAATCCCCTGATAAACCTTCAGTAACTTCCATCTCTTTTTCGAGCTTCCTCGAATATAGTTCCTATAACTCCTGATGGTTGTCTCCTGATGGTTGTCATTCTTTTCGGATAAATATTTTCGAGCTTCAAACCTTTCAACTGCAACTTTTCGACTATCATATTTTTCGAGCAGGCCTAACAGATGGATATCATAGAAATTCTCCCATTTGAATTGACAATCTTTTAACGATCTTTGGTTAACAATTTGAAAAAAGGCTAGACTTTGTAATAAATCTCATTAGAGCGGCTGTAATCTTTCTGTCCACTTCTATATCTCTTTAACATTCTAAAGTCTTTTTGTATACAAATTTATCTAGCACTTTTCTAGATTCACTCGATTGCTCTTTCAAATAACATATACCCCCAAAAAATTACCCGTTAATACTCCAAATGCACATTTAGCATGATTGAGTCTCATATTGCATTTCCTCAATTGATTAAAAATGTATGCCAGATAATCCAAATGCCCCTCGATCTTTTTATTGTCATAACGTCAATATGTACACTACTACAAGATATATATTCTACATCGGTTCTCTAAAGTCATCTACATCGGTTCTAAAACCGATGTAGAATAGAGCGACGTAGAAAATGTATGCATTTTTACATCGGTTCTGAAAAACCGATGTAGATTTAAGCTTAAATCTACATCGGTTCTCCTGAGAACCGATGTAGATTTAAGCATAAATCTACATCGGTTCTCTTGAGAACCGATGTAGATTGCATTTTTTTAAAAAAAAAATATATGTTTGTTTTTGGATTCTTTTTTTTGTCTATATATAATGGACAAATATTGTCAATCAAGATTAATTTGGCCACCAAATTACAATAACAAAAATCACACAAACAAATTATCAATTTTAATTTATCACATTAAAGATTTCAATCATTTAAAAGAAACTATAAAATCAAGAGCAAAAGAAACTTAATGAAAAGGACATAATGGTGAAGCTTCCTTCCAAAAGATAGGGAACATATAAACTGCTAATTATTTCTACGAAGTAAACAAAATTCAAAACTAAAATGTGTTCTCTTATGAGTCAAACATAACCTGCTCACACTTATAATGATTCATATATAGAATCCAGTGTAAAAGGTTCAAATATATAACCTTCTGACACTAATAAAGTGAATAGTTTGTTACAAAAAATTAAAGACTAAATTAGGATTATGCATAGTTAATAAATGAAAATTGATGGAAGCAAGAGGCAGCAATCCCCACAAGGTGGAAATCCTTGGATAGGATATGATAGTTGCTTTAAGACACCAATTAAGACTTTCAGACTTTGAGATTGGAGAGCACATAGTGTGGACTATGCTTTAGGTACCTTTATTTACGCTTGCTTGTCGCGGCTGATATTCCATATTCCCACTTTTGTTTTGCCTTTTTATTCTTTTGGGACCTTGTGCGAGGGACACAAGGGCACACAGTTTACTTCATGTAAGATATGATGCAACATGCTACCAAGAAAAAAAATCCAGTTTCACTTAGAAATATTTGAATAAAGACTTTCAATTTTCATTCTTTTGTATTCACAAATAAGTAAAAAAAAATGCTTTCACTTTGTTTCCTACTTACAAATATTTGAACAGGATAAATCTTCAAAAACAGCGACAAAGTGGAAACAAAAGAGAATTTTGTAGTTACATTTAAAAACAGAATTAAACAACAAACATTTTTGCAAACTAACATGTAACTTCCTCTGCCATCCTGTTAATTCTTCTTTTTAATTAGAATTACTAGATTATTTTAAGGATAACTACTAACAAACAAAGTGCAACACCACCGCCATCCCCACACAATACACCCCTATCAACTCTTTCTTCCAAAGGATAGTTTGTAAGAATCAAACTACATGTGAGAGTATTGGGAATTTCAGTTAAAAAATGTTGGGCCCATGCACATTCCTCAATCCAAGCTTGTATCCAAAAACATGTAAAAAAATAATATTCAACAAACGAATCACGGTAAAATCAAAATCCCATCATCATACCTTCCCTTCAATATGCATTCCCGTAATGTGAAGTTTTGTCCACATTCCAAAGCCCAGTCTTTTTCTTAGTTTCACAGCAAGTATTGCACTCATATCAGACGTGAGAAAATTCATTCCTAACTCCAGAACCTGCATAGATTACACCATAATATCTAAATTAGACCGAACAAAATGTCATTCACAGATGCAGAATGAGACATTCTCTTGATATGCTGCTTTAAATATCACATACCAAGTGATCATCATCACTCTAGCGAAGAACCCTCATTTCAGTAAACAAAGGTGGATTTCTTCCCAAGTATAGATTCTGAACAGCAGCTTCTTTCTGCAAAATATAGTACAAAGATATCAAACTGATACATCAAAAGTCAAGATATCAATTTTATATTCACAAAAAATGCATCTTTCTTGATAAAAGTTGAATAGAGAATATGAAATTCATATCACATAATTTTCAAGAAAATGGTCAAAATTCATATTATGATCAACCACAATCAAAGACAAATAACCGAACAGTACGAGTCATTCAGCAGTCCAAGGTTTGTATTTCTCTAAGAACCACAGAATGATAGGGAGTAAAATATTCTGAGTGGCAATCTTTTCCATACATATGGGCCATATGTTTTCAACTGCATGGTTCAACCACCGGACTGTTTCAGAATCCGAAAGCACCTAGTACAAAAGAAAAAAGGACATTGCCAGTTATATCAGAAAATCATCATAGAACAATCCTTTGCAATTAGAATATGAGTATGTTTAGATACAAGTCTAGATGAGCTTTTAAGAGCTTCTATACTAAAAAATACTCTTTATTGAGCTCTCAAAAATTTGTTTAAATTGTATCCAAACAGAGCCTATGACATCTCAAATTTAAACTTTCAATGATAAATAAAATATACCTAAATGAACTGATATTAATTTACAAATATATATATATATTAACTACTGGGGAATATTTTTTTTCTTATTACTACAGTTTTAATCATTTCTTTATTTAATTAAGTCATATAATTTTATTTTCATCATCAAAATGAAAGCATTTTTTTTCAAAGGCATCAAAAAGAAAACTAATTAGCTTATCACTCAATATAATCTTATTGATAAGTAATATTGTAATAATCCATTCATGAATGTGGATTCTAACTTCCTTTCTAAGGATCACTTTCAGTTTCAAGTTAAGGGAACAACTAAACTTCAAAGAAGAATTTATTCAGACATTAGTTTGTTTTCTTCATTCACCACTGCTTAGTGTTTATATACTTAAAAAACTCATTAAGCTACTATTTTCCCCTAAAACTTCATGATTCACAAAATCAAATAACCACACTAAAACCAGCAGAATTACCCTTCTTTGGTTGGCTTGCTTCCTCTCCTCAAACTGCAACTTCTTCCGCAGCCTCGTAACATAACGCTCATGAACCTTACCCAAAAAAAAATAGATCAAAGTCAGAAACATAATAATATTCCCCATCCTTTTCTCTTGCCTTTAAACAAACACTACAAAGCAGAAAAAATCCAAAACACGATTCCAGTACCAAGCCCCTTATTGTTTATTTTCTTTCCACATCATCAAGAATGCAAAAACAAATATAAAAGGCAAAGAAAGCAAATAATGAATATCCAAAGAAAAGTTGCCAAAATCGCCGACCATGATCCTCACCAGGTAAAGATATATCAAAGCTACAAAATAAACAATCGGGTGGCACCAATTGAATGCAGAGAGGAGCCATAAATAAAGGGTTTTCGTGCGAACTCTTCAACTTTCACTAATACCGGAAGCTCTCGTAGAATCAAAAGTTTGAAAGCGGAAAAGAATAACATACCCGCAGGAGTTAGGGTTTTCGATGATGATGTTTTTCACGGTCTGAGAAGAGTCTGGGTGCTTACTATTAAGGAGTTAGGGCTTTCTTTGGAGAACGACGGGAATCAACCTACAGCTCGGCCTTCTTTTTTGAGACTTCCTCTACCCACATCTCTATGTGCCCGCAGCACTTCCATACGGAGAAAGATAGGCTTACCATGTTCCATCAATCGCACCTAACCTATGCCGATTTTGGCGGACTGTGCTCCACCCCGGTGAACTCATGCGGTTTCGACGTGCCAGAGGCTAGAGGCGAATCCATTGGACTTTCTTCGGAGAGGAAGGAGGGAGGCTTTCTTTGGAGATGGCATGGCGGCTTTGTTTGGAGATGGCGCACGCGGGTAGGGAAAGTTATCCAATTCTACATCGGTCATAAAGTGAACCGATTTAGATATCTTTATGTTTTTCCTCTTATTTACGGAATTGCCACCGCACTTTTACTACTACATCGGTCTTTCATTAAACCGATGTAGATTTGCTTTACATTCTTCAAATAATTACAAAAATGCCACCGCATTTTGTTTCTACATCAGTTTTATTAAAACCGATGTAGAATTAGCGACGTAGATAAGTCATTTTCTAGTAGTGGTACTTCCAAATTCCTCTGATTTTCAAACACCATATTCATCATTCTCTAATACGTAGCTTTTGTATTTCTCAATTTGTTGTGCATCGGGGGGGGGGAGGGGGTTATATCACACATACATTGGTAAGATATTGTCCGCTTTGGGTACAAGCCCTCACGGATTTGCTTTTGGGCATCACCCAAAAGGTCTCTCAACCAATGAAGACAAATGTGTGTATATAAACACATGTCCATCCTCTTGTTTAAACGATGTGGGACTTTGTTTGCATCCCAACAATCCTCCCCTCAAACAAAGGACCACAATTTAACCCATCCCCTGCAGTGGAAACTACGAGTATTATCCGATGGTGGCCCCACAGAGCTCACTCATGCTTAGAGTGCTGGGACACACCTCCTAACCCTCCATGTTACCAGGAAGCCTCTCTTTCACATGGACCCACCGTTAGGAAGACTTTCGACACAAGGGATCCCAAACTTGGATCCAAGTGTCAGCCATCATACTCGTCGAGCTGGTACCACTTGTTGGGCACCGATGGGGTTTACCACACATATACTCATGTCTCCACATTGATGAGATATTGTCCGCTTTGGGCCTAGCCCTCACGGATTTGCTTTTGGATATCACTCAAAATGCCTCTCTTCCAATGGAGACAAGTGTGTGTATATAAACTCATGTCCATCCTCTTGTTTGAACGATGTGGGATTTTGTTTGCATCCCAACACAATTTAAAAGACATCACTTTATAATAATAGTTAACTTTTTAATCCATGAAAATTGATTTTTCATAATTTCTTATCAATCAAGCAATGATTTTGAGTCTGTTTCAAAAAGGTTGACACAAATGTGGTAGCGTAGAAGTTGTTGCTTAATAGAGTCTGCCAAGTCAAAACTTCTGCCGATACTAGTTAGATTTGACTATAATCGAAACTAACAGAAGACTATTCAGAAAAGATGTGCTCCGGTACTATCACAACAACCTTGCTCTCGGTATTTCTCCATTGTCACTCTTTATTCCATCCTTTCTCAACAAAGAAAGTTTTACTCTTCTGCCCAACTCTTGGCCGCAAAACAACATATTCTTGCAACCAATAATAAAGAAGGGTTTTTCATTTTCACACTCAAATGAAATGTGTCGGTCATGTTGATGTTAGTTTTAATGCTTATTAGTATATCATGGTTGACTGTAATAGTATAATATATTTAATATTTTAAAGAAATACCCATTCTAGTCTTGATTATAAGATACTTATAACATAATTACACAAATCAATATAAGTAGTTATTTATGTTGATTTTGATTTTATAAAAAAAAAATCATGTATGATGTATCAGTTTTACCCTTCTTATTTGTCATTAAATTGTCATGTGAGAGATAAAGATATTTCTTTTTATCATAGTTTATATGGCAACACCAATAAAATTGATAAATGACAATTATAAAGTTTAGGAGATGAAAAACAAAACATTTATTTCTCAACTCTTCTCATTATTTAAAAACAAGAAAAAAAATATTATTCACAATCTTTAATAAATAAAAAATGAAAAAAAATTAATACTTTATAAAAAAAAATTGTAAATTAAAAGAACTGTCATTTCCTTATATATAAATCCTGTTTTGTATAAAGATAAGAGGAGTATTATTTAGTGTTGGTTCAACCAAGACTAACAATTTTTTTAAAATATTATTAGTGTAAGAAACATTTGAGAAGAAGAGAGTGAAGTAGGAAGAATATTTTATTATTGTGCTCAAATGAAATATTAGTGTTGATTGTTAAGCATGTTGACATCAGTTTCAACTTATTAGCATCAACCCAATCGATTTTATTAGGTTAATAAATTTATTTTCCAAAATTTATATTTAGTGATGATATTAAGCCAATGCAAAAAATTATTATTATTATTATTCTAATATTAGTAGTGTTAGAAAATATATTAAGAAATTGATTAAAAAGAATAATTTTTTTGGTAATTGATAAAAAATATTTTAGTGACAGTATAACGTCAAGTGATTGACACTATATCTAGTATTAGTTTGTGGTTGATACTAATTTAAAACTTTTCTATATAGTGAGAGTTGTTTTTGTTGAAGAATTTGTTGACAATATTGTGAAAACACGGATTTAATTTGGAGAAGAGTGCGACCTACACCATTCAAAGAATGTTTTCTTTAGCATTTCTCTTTTGTTAAATGTTTCCTTGAAACTAACATGTATCACTATGGACTGCAAGAAAGAAATTCAGCATGCTTATCTATAGCATGCCTCCATTGATGCAGGGAAGCAATAATCTAAGGTAAGACCTAGCTAGTTCTATCCACAACTACCCGTTTTGGTGTTATTTGTCTGTTTGGAATATTGAGCAACAAACGAAACTTCATGGACTTCATAGTCTAGACTCTAGAGATGGATCATTTTTGAGTAGACCTAAATGTACTATTTTGTGTTTCTATCGTCCATATAGTTCTTCAGTACTCTATTTGATATTATTAACATGCGTGTATGTTTAATTTTGAGTATTAAACTAATTTTGAGAATTTTGGATTGTTCATGTGTTTCTCTAGGAAGTCTAAAGGAATGCATTTGTGGTGATTGTATGAAAAGTTGATATAAGCATGTAAATATATGTAATTTATGTCTTTTAGAAGTGTAACACGACCTTTAGAATGTTTTTACCTATTGAAATCATAAAATTGATACTTACTATATGAAATTCACATTTATGTTAAAAGTGTTGTGTTTTTGTTACAATGATGGGTGCCACCTTGAGCTTGTCGGGTGTCGTCATGACTAAGAGTAAAACCTACGAAGATTTCTTACTAATTGGATTGAGAGAAAAAAGTATGGGTGTGAGTTGTGTTAAATTCTGAAAATTCTAGTATAAACATACTTGGTATTTATCTAATTTCTTTACATGTGATTAATGAGATTGAGTTCTGATTCTTGGGTTAGAAAGTAAACATTTAGAGCTGTAGATTAGACTCAATAATCACATAAAAATGTTAAGGAACAACCTAGTTATGTGAGTTAAAAGATGAACCTCATATTTTGTGCACAAAATGTAACGTGCATACCTTGTAAGCTTTTTGAGTAGACTTAAATGGAAAAATTAGGTTTTATGGTATTCATGAAAATTATAGCCTAGGATGTTACCTTTCAAATTTCGTTAGAATCATCTAGAAAAAAGGTCTAGAACTCCAGTTATGATCAAATTAGTGAGAAAAGGTTAGGTTTTCAAATTTAGGCTGAAACATTGTGGTTTTGTATTTATTTAAAATAGTAAATGGCGTATTTAGTTCTTCACATCAATATAAAAGTTAGAGATAATTGTCTTAGCTTTCTAATAAAATTAAGATCAATTTAATAGCATATATATATATATATATTTAATTTTGATTTATATATATATATATATATATATATATAAATAACTAAGGTGTTTGGACCACAAGATATCGTAGAAGATTAAGTTATGAAAATGTAGTATGTGAGTGTGCTATTGATATGCTTATAAGCTATGTATGAGTTGTAGTGATGCGATCCCTTATGTCATTGATTGCTAATATTTAATTTATATTAAATTATTAATTACTATATTGAGAATGATTGATGATTTTATGATATAAGATTAGTTGACAGTGAGTTCATGAGATCATGTGCAATGTTATGCATAGAGTCTAACATGTATCATGCACATAAAAATGTTTTTGTAAGGGTACAATATATATGGAATACACCGTCAGAGAAGGTCCCTTATGTAAAAGTTTGGGAACCAATCTTGGGGATAGCACGATTTGGAAGTCTCAATCTTGTCCTCATGAGCTTGGAATGTATCTTGTACGGCTTAACTATCCTGATCATACCCTAGTAATATGTCCTTCTAGTGAGAATGCACAAAAGGTGTGACCCGACATGTGTTGCTAACGGCAATGCACAAGTGTTATATATGATATTTTTACTAGTGCCACATGCATGATAACATGTAGTCTATGTTTATAACATATGCATTATACTTATCTATTGTTGCTTACTATGCTATAAATGTGTTAAATACGATGATGTGTAACTGTGTATGGTATATCATGTTGTATGTGTTGTTTGAGTTTGGCTAGCTGGTTTGCATTCCTACACCGTGAGTTAAAGTGAGATGTTTGTCACTCCCTTTTCTTTGTGTTGTCTTCTTGTGGGTTTTTTTTAGGTAATCATCAACATGGTGCTAATAAGGATGTCAGTGATGAGGCTTAATACTCAACATTGGATTTTGCTCTTATAGGACATGTGACACTAGGAAATTAGTTATGACTAGTTAGGATTTGATTCTTACTATTACTTTGAGCAGTTTAATTT